CATCTCTTTAAAAGAAAGATTGAAAAAGCAGCCATTTTTCATAATGTCTGATCCCTTCTCGTTTTGCATTTTAACATACTGTTGGCTTGAGCAGAGTGTTAACAGTCCAGTTTAACTTCTGGTATTTCACGTAATGCTAAACACATATCAAGCTCCTGCTGCAGGACTGGAAAGCTGAGAACAATAGAAACAAATTGCGACTATTATAATGTACTCTTAACAATATGCCTTGGAGAGAGCAAAGGAAATCTAGTCCCACAAAGCAAAAAAAGCGGTAATCATAGCGGGTAGGTAATAATTTACCAGCCACTTGTTTTAAATACCGTCTCTTATGCATCCTAACTTCCAACTTTGCTGTTGATGTCAACAGCACAAACTAGCTTATGATGTTAGTACACTAAAAACAGCTCTGCTCTAGAAAAGTAATTAGTTCTTGTTCTGCCTCCACAAGCTCTAGCCAAGGAAACTTTAACAGTACTTTTGCAATAGCTACAGCTTTCAAGAAAAAAAAAAAAAAAGTAATAACTTTTTTCTCCCTCCAGTCATATAAAGCTAAGAATCATCTCCCAGGTAAACGACTAACACCGCTCTCTATTTTTCTGAGAGAATGAATGAGGAGTAACAGAATTGAGACAGCCTCTTCAGTGAATTACCACTGATTTGATTCTATATAACCTGAATTAAAAAATAAAATTTCTCTAAACTATTAGAGAAATAGCACTAAAGGTGCTTCCTAAATTATTTCAAGAATAACCACTATCTCTTTGTTACTATTTTATTATGACAGACATTTAAAAATCACATAAATGATTGTAAAGAACTGTCTGGCCAGAAATTATGACTTCTGCCAAGACAAAATAACCAGAGATTACACAACAAAAAATCAAAACACTCATTCCACTAGTCTGTATTGCCCAATAAACAGAGATGTCCAAATAGATTCTCTTGGTAGTCATTTTTTGCTTGAAAAGCCATTAAGCCAAAATCCAGCGTATGTCCAGTCAAATCTAGGCAACTTAAATGCATAGGTATTTTTGGCAAACAAGTAAGTGGATTATTCTCCCCTAAAACTTGCTGTAGCAGAAACTAACTACAGCAAAACAATGAAAATGTCCACAAGAAAAGCTATCAGATTCCTAAGAGAAAAGATTTTCCCCTTGTACATATCTCTTTCAGCTTTACACTCAGAAGTTATTTGTAATAAATCAGCAGAAGAAAGCCTGTGAATAGTCTTTTTAGTAATTCAGTGTTCGCAGAATACTACAGAACAATTAGCTTCTCACTGCATTGTGCATTACAGTCATAATCTAAAAGAAAATACATTAGCAATCGGACGCTAGGCACAGAGTAGAGTTCAAAGCCAAGCTTAGTCAGCCAGACACATGTTTATACCATCCAAGAAGAATAAACAATATTGCCTTGACTACTCAGGGAGATTAAATATATTATGGAAAGAGAGCAGAAAAACAAAGTTTCTCTTCCTAATCAGTCGCTTTAACATAGGAGTATTTTGCATTTAGACTTTGTTATAGAAACAACTCAAGAAATTTCAAGAGACTATGAGTGGGGAAAAGAAAATCAGTGTTTAGAGGATGAAGCAGCTTCTAACAGTTTCTTTTTCTCCACCCACTTCCTTTTCATATCCACTGCCTATTTAAAGGTCTTTACATACAACCTTGCTCTCACCTCTTGTCCTACAACATGATTTTCTTCTTCAGTAGTACGGTTTTTCTTTTTTTTTTTAATTATATACATAAGCATATTTTAGCACTTCTGACCCCTGAACTATGAAGCTTCACATTAAGAGGCCTGGCTGCTTCCACTTCTGCTCATTTTCTAAAATATTCAGGATATAGCATATAATAGCTGCAAATATCTGGTTTTATTAGAAAGTTTTAAATAACATGTTAAAGAAAAAATAAGAATTTTGCCATCCGTGAAGACAGCTTACCCTCAGATGGCAAAAGTTAATAGGGTCTCTAAATGGGCGTACACGTAACACATTAGTTTCATTGTAGAGTACTGACTAAAACAAAGCTCCAGTTGGCATGCATTCTCCTGGGATGGCATCACCACTGATTTCATAAGCACCGAAAACATGTCTGGGGCCTTCACAAAACAGTCCCCAAAACTGTTAACCCAAGTCTGCAGGGAAGACACAGGGAGCACCCCGGAGGGACTGCACACTTTTCATTTTTTTATGGAGAGCGTAAGCTCTGGATCTGCAACAGGATTCTTGTGGGCAAATCTTTGCAGCACCACAGAGGCCTGTGAAGATCAGTGCAAGCATGAGGGCCACGCCACACATCCTTCCAGGCAAGGGCAGCACCTCGGTGTGTGAAGACACACATCCTATCGACTGTCCTTAATGCACAAACCTAAACTGTGTTGGATAGAAAAAATAGTAAAATCAAGTCAAATCAAATAATGCCCCAAAAAGATTAAGTGTTCCTTCATCCCCTCCCAAAACGCCTCAGAACTGGCACTCCACATTTACTGTTGGTGTAAATTGCTGGGTACACACAGCAGCTCTAATATATTTGTTGCTACGTTCCTGGAATTAAGTGCACTTCCAAGCAAGCTTCGCACCTGTATTTCTACAGGACTAAGACAAACACAGTTTTCTCCGAACTGAACAAAAGCAGATCGCAGAAACCGGTGAAGCGGCACAGTTTGCTGTCAGGTTTGGGCTTAGGAGCCCGGGAGTTCCAGTTTAAAATCCCCGAGCCGTGGCTCGCTTCCTAC